GAGTACGCATCTCTTGGACAAAGTCCACCAATTCCTTGTTGCCCTGTCAGGCGGCAAGAAAACGCGCTTGCACGCGATATGCCTGGTTAGGAGGCGAGAACACTCGTGAGAGCTGCAATTTCAGCTCCGCCCAGGAGGAAAACGCAGCTTCGACCGAAGTGCCACACGTCAGTGCCCATTCTCGCATTCGACCACCGAGCTTTAATATGGCTAGCGCCACGCTCTGTTGCTCGGTCTGGAGTATGGCGGATGCGATGGCCATCTCGAACTCTCTCACCCAGCGCAGGAGATTCTCTCCATCCTTTCACTTGAAGACCTTCACGCTCACCACGAGCGGCTTAGGGCGGGAAAAATCATCACGTCACTGACGGTGGCGTCATAGACGCAAATGATGCAGACATCTTTTACTGCATGTGCTCTAGCAGCGCGTTTTCGTAATTTGAAACGCCTCTAGAAGGTCACCGATTGTCTCGGGGTCTTGCGCAGCAAGGTGTTGCACGCCCTCATAGGCAAGCAAGGACATCAGCTTTTTAAGCCCGTCCTGCTTGCGTTGGGGCAAAGAGGAAATTTTTCAATCCTCACATAGAATCAGTCTAAACGACTCAGGTGTAGATTGACTACAGGTGCTACCAAGTGCAGTGGGGCTGCCGTAGCATTGCGCTTAGAGGAAGCGTAATTTAGGTCACCGACCTTTCGTTCCATACTTAGAACAAGTACGAGTATAGCGGATCGCAATCCGCTTACTTTAAGAGGTATTACAACCTTAACACAAGGCTAATTAACTTTCGCGTTCAAATCCAAAACTGAATTTATTTATTTTTATCTGCAGCAAAGCCGCGTATAACTACTGGTTATCCAGCTCCGTACCGTATTCTTGTTTGGGTGTGGTCACACCATGCCCATCGGTGTGACACACATCCCTGTTACCAGGGTATGTGTAACCCCGTTACACAAATATTGTGCCAACTCGAAATTTGGTTTTTCTGTACCATGAGAGGTGGATACACAAGTACTGATAATTTCTTCTTAAACATATCTTTAAGTAATTTTACTAGCTTTAGGTGATATCTTGCTTATCGTCAAGCAAATGTAAGGTTTGCACCTTCAACTGCTCCTAATGTGCAATGTGCGCTCCATGAATCTCTTCGAACATGATACTTTTGTGTTTTTCAAATATGCTTCACGGAGTGACAACAATCTAGAGCGTTGAAGTTATTGGACATTTGATCGTGACTACAATTTTAATTGATTAACAACATTAAATATCTGGTGTGTACGTTGTGTTGTGATTATTGTAAGTCACATATTGATAGAATTGTGCTTTCACGAGGTATGTTTAAGAACCTATTTGCATCAAAATATAGATCATCGCATCCCAGTCCTTCACAATACCGAACTCGTATAATACAACACACTAGTATGATTAAATGTATTATCAAAATTAGTTAAATGACCACCGTTCCTAACCTTTATGATCTCACAAATCTCATACTGCATGTACAAACACCAAACCATCATTCTAACAACGCCTTTCAACTACTGTCAAGACTTACAGGACTCGCTTAGTTTTCAAACTGAACACGTTGAGTCACGTGAAAGCTTTGGATGTAACACCTTAGAATCGAAACTTGCTACCTTCGTCTGTCGCGTGAAGACTGTGCCTAGGGAACACCGCGTTCTACTTGCCATCATTGAAATTTCTGAGCTTCATCTTGCACAAGACCTAAATAAGCAGAGTCTT